ATGACTAGCAAATCCAAACTTAGGCCCAATTGGCCCCTAATTGAGTTGGCTTAATTATATTATAAACCGACTCAATTAGACTCTAAACTAACTCGATCTAGACATAATTGATTACAAGCGAATCCTTGTTGTCCGGCATGTCATTAGTTCATCCGGTGCTTCGTTCGATCCTTCGACGCATCGTCCTCTCCTTCGGTGTATTGCCCAATTAGTATATTGTCTTCTTGCAACATCCGATCTTCTTAGCGCAATGTCCGATCTTCTTGGCCCGATACCGAATTTATGGCCCGAAGCCTTCTGTCAATACATCGACCATTCCTTCGGCCCGACGTCTAATCTTTTGACATGTTTGCTCCGGCCCAACATCTGATTCCTCTTGCTTTAATCAATTTACCCTTTTTGATCGACGTTAGCCCTGTGTTACTCAAAATGCTCATTAGATCACAAACACATCAATTGATTTTACAATCAAAATCCGAGATTCAACAAGAATCATGTTTACAAATTTACTACCAATTTTAAATTTATCTAACATTTGTAGTAATAATAATTTTTCCTTTTTGGACGAATCTAATTTTTCACATTTAGTGCAAGAGTTTAACATGCAATTATCATGCTCATTTTTTAATTTTTTAAATTCATTAGAAAAAGAAGTAAGATCCTTTTTTAGCAATTTATAATTTTTACCAACTAATTTAAATTTATCATATATATCATTGAATGCATCAAATAATTCATTATAAGGTAAAGACATTTCGGTTGAATTATTTACCTCATCATTGGGAGCCATTAAGGCGTAGTTCGTCACCTCGCCTTTATTGGTTTGCTTCTCGACTTCGGATGAGCTCGATTTATCCTAAGTTACCTGAAGTGCTTTCTTTTTCTTTGGCAACTTCTTCTTTTTAATTTTATTTTTATTTTTTTATTTTTATTTTATGAACATTTTAAATTTACTTGTGAAGAGTTCAAGGTCATCATCACTTGAGCTTTTGCTCGAGTGGTATTCTTTTGTTCCAAGTGTCAAATCCTTTATGTTCTTTAGAAGGTTATTCTCAAGTTCATCATATGCTATACATGTCACTTCATAGGTTATCAAAGACCTGATAAGTTCTTCAAGCGAAAAGTTATTTAGGTCTTTTACTTCTTGTATTGTCATTACTTTAGGATCTCAACTTTTTGGAAAGGATCTTATAATATTGTTTATAAGTTTGAGATTAGAAAAATATTTGTCAAGAGCTTTTAAGCCATTGACGACATCCATAAAACGAGTATATATGTCAATAATGGTTTCGCTTGGCTTCAGTCGAAACAATTCAAAATCATGCATCAAAAGATTTATTATAAACTCCTTAGCTCTATTCATGCCTTCATGAGTTACTTCTAGTGTGTGCTAAATCTGATATGCAGTTTCACATAAAGAAATACGATTAAACTCATTTTTGTTCAAAGCACAAAATAGAGCGTTCATGGTTCTAGCATTCAAAGAAAAAGTATTCTTCTCCAAATCATTTCATTCGTTCATTAATTTAAAAGACTTTTGAAAATAATTTTCAATAATATTCCATAAATTAAAATCTATATGAAGCAAGAAAACTCTCATTTGAGTTTTCCAATATGTATAGTCCGTCCCATTGAATATAGGAGGACGAATGATAGAGTGACCCTTTTGAAAGTTGGTAAAAATCATTTTTCTTGGGTGTTAAACCAAACGAGAAAAACCTTGGCTCTGATACCAATTATTAGGATCAAGTCGGTATTAAGAGGGGGGTGAATTAGTGCTTTTGGAGAACTATGTCGATCGTGAAAATTCATACGATAAAACTATCTCAGAAAGATGTTTAAGTTTAAAAATATTCGTAGGATAGTGATGAAGATATAAAGTAGTTGTAAAGTAAATAAATAGCAAAGAAGAGAAGGCACACCAATTTTATAATGGTTCGGTCATCGTGACCTACGTTCACTCCCGATTCCTCCTATATTGAGGCCACCGACGTCTACTAACGATCTTTCTTCAATGGGTGAAGACCAACTATCCTCTTACAACTCTTTTCTCCTTTTGATAGGCTCAGGAGAGAACCTTTACACCCTCTTTTTACAAAGTTTTCCTCATACTCTCTCTTAGATTAGTCTCTAAACTTTAGGAGAAGGGACTTTATTTTATAAGAGTTTACAACTTTAGAATTACAAAGTTTTGTTCTACTTTCGTGCTCTCTTAAGTAGGAAAGATTAGGGTATTTATAGACCCTAAATGACTTCAAAAATTGGAGCCAAAATTCAAATCCTTGAGATTTTGAGGTATTAGCAGTACCACCGTTTGCAGCACTTACACTAGTTAGGACCATTACCTGACACTAGGCGGTACCACCGCCTGATATAGGCTCGGAGACTATATCTTAGAGATTGAGCCGCTAGCGGTTCCACCGCTTGGACCGATAGTGCCACCGCTTGCCCCAACTTTTGGATCATTGAATGAGCTTTCCACTAGGCCCAAAACAGTCCCAACTCAGGCCCAATGGGCCCTAATTGAATTGGCATAGTTACACCCAAAACTAACTCAATTACAACCTAACTACGGCCAATTAAGACAACCGATTACAAGACTAAAATTCTATGTTGTCTGGTATGTTATTGGTTCATCCAACGCTCGTCCGATCCTTTGGCGCATCATCCTCTCCTTTGACGTATTGCTCAATTAGCATGTTGACCTCCCGCAACTGCTGATCTTCTTGACGTAATGTTTGATACTTTGGCCCAATGTCCGAACTCACAACACGAAGTCCTTTTGCCGGCACATCGACCAATCCTCCGGCCGATGTCCAATCTTCTGATATATTCAATCCGGCCCAACGTCCGATTCCTCCTATTTTAATCGATTTACCTTTTCTAATCGAAGTTAGTCTTGCATCACTCGAAACACAGATTAGATCGTAAACTCATCAATTGATTTTACCATCAAAATATGAGATTCAATAGTCCATCCTCTAGCACTTCAACCAATCTTTTGGCCCAACGTCCAATTTCTAATATGATATACTCTGACCCAATGTTTGATTCTCCTATTTTAATTGATTTATCTTGATAAAAATTAATCTTGTGTCACTTAATTTAAATATTCATTGTATCATAACTTGATTTCATTATCAAGATTCAACATAATAATTAAAAAATATTTCATAAACTTAACACAAGATAATATGGTTTCACACTCCTTCTTATATCCTATAAAGAAACTAAGATCTTCATCATATGACAATAATTAAATATAATAAATATCTCTTTTAAATCAATCCAAATCTAAATCAGAAATCAATTTCCTTTCACATCAATTTAGAAGAATTATTCTCTCATCCGTCTCTAAATCCACTAAAAATACCTGGAGCACAGTGTCTCCCTCTATATATCACTGTCATCATGTATTACACTAATTATACGAAAAGTTAGAATCTGATTGAATTCCTTGTAGGAGTTTGAATCTAATAATGACTTCTAAAAAATACCATTCAGTCCTAACAAAAAGGGTAAAGTTTAACACCTAAAATATTATTATGATATAAAAATTAGTAAAATGGTATAAATTTGTATATAATTTATGTTGTTGTTTCCTTGGTCTCTGACATCACATCAAGTATACAAAATATATAAATTGAGAATATAACAAAATCTAAGAGGCTCCTAATTTATTTAAATATAGGGAATTGATCCACACCTAACCTTCCAACAACCTATAATCACTTTTGTTCTGTTGCATTAATGCTTGTGTATGTAAGTCATCAATTCTTAAACACACGTAAAAGAGAACATCTCTCATGTCTTATTGTTGATTTCAGTTGCATGTGCTCTGGCCTAAGAAACAAAGTACAGAATAATTGGACGGTCCCGATCCTCGTCCATCTGCCCATGCACACATCTGAGCCGTTCAATCTGTTGATATGACGCATCAGTGTGGACTCCACCTCGCGTTGCCGCACCTGACGACGATGGACGGATGAGACGGGAAGATGAGAGGAATGGACGGTCGAAATGGGCTCAGAGCCCCAGGCTCCAGTTTTTGGTGACGGTGGGGAAGGGTAGGTTTGACGGTCGAGTGGAATTTGAACAGCCGTTGGGGAGAACGCGAGCGAGCGAAGGTATGGCGCGAAGCGACGCCACCGCGGCACCCAACGGTCAACCGCTCGACCGGCATAAAGCCGCTCCCTCCTCTGCTGCCTCCTCTCCACCCTTCCCTCCTCCGGCGACACTGCGTCCAGAGCTCCAGCTTCTCCTCTCCTCTCCTCTCCTTGGGTCGGTAAGTGTTGTCCAATCCGGCTGCTCTTTGTCATCTTGGTGTGATTACTCGAAGGAATTCCCCTTCATGTTGTGTTCGATTTCAAATCTGATAAGAGAAACCTGCATCTGAATTCGATATCAGATACTTTTGGAATTAGATAATCCGGAATGGGGTTCCGGACAAATTTGTCTCAATGATAGATTAGTGTATGGAGTCGAAGTTTTTCTTTGTGTTATAAGCAATCGGGACATGCTGTTTAAGGGGTACATCTGAGAGAGATTGTCATGTATGATTATAGAGGGTTGGGACAAATCTGTTTCTAGAAAAGATCAAATCTTTTCCTCTTTTTTATCCTCAATTGGCAACTGATAGGTAACAATTATCCAAACATATTCCATATGTAAATGAAAGAGTGGAGGACAAAGTAAAACACGAAAACAACAGATCAATAGTTGCGAGAAACCACATGGAGAGCAGGATCGGATTGACATGAACTTGAGTAGTCACTTTCATGGCATGAAATAGAGAAACCACCCATGTAGCTTTCTTGAAAAGCTCATCCGCAAAGGCCACAGTATTCCTTGCAATACTGGTCTTGAAGATCATCTGACATGGGTGAATTCAAGAGTCTTCTTTGGCTGTTTTCCAGGAAGGCAGAATAAATTCTGATTAGTGCAAAGGTCTCAATTAGGTAAGAAGGTTGAAGTCTAATTAATCCTCAGTCTTCATCGGTTTATGGACTCTTGATACAATTGGATAGGAGACCACAATGTGATTTATACTTTCAGGTTGCTCTCTACAAAGAAAGCAAGAGCCATCTGTTTTTCATCATTCCCAAATTAGAAGTTTAAAATAGTTGACCTAGCTCTTATGACCTACCCATCTGAAGACTTCTTGTTAAGAACTTGAGTCCAAGTTCCTGATTTCTCTAAGGTCTTCTCATGCGAATTTTTGCATTACTCTCATACAATATATCTTTTTTAAGGCCACTAAGGAAACACATTGCTCATTATTTTTTAATATGCCATTGTCGTTCATACAATAATTTATTCCATGCTTGATCATCAACCCTCCTCTTTTTTGTCTGACATAGAAGTCTAAAAAACTTTCAGATGGTCCTATGTTCATCTGTTAATGACTGACATTCTTATGCTTTAAAGGATTGGATTATAAAATTGTTTATAATCAAGAAGAATTAATTTGTTTTAGTTGCCCTTTATTGCTTCTGATTATCTTATTAAGTGCATAATTCTGCAGAAATTGTCTGATACAAATTTGTGTATTGAATTGGTACCAACCAAAGATATCTAGCTGGGGTCCTTAACATTTCAAACATGGAAGATCTGAATAAGCCATTGCTTGATCCAGAAAACTTTACTCAAGATTCAATGGATTTGGTAAGGATGTAGAAAGTCCTTTTTGAGGAATCATTTAAAAAATGTTACTCTGTTAGATTAACCAAAGATAATACAGGAACGCATGCCCTTGGAGGAAGTTTTTGAACAGCTAAGAACTTCTCGAGATGGACTTTCGTCAGCAGATGCTGAGTCACGCTTACAGCTTTTTGGCCTAAATAAGCTAGAGGAGAAGCCTGTGAGTTCTATGTTGTCATTTTTTAACAATTCTGCATTCTTCCAAGTGAATAAAGGTGAACTGTAACCTGATATCTTCCTTTAGAATCTTGGCCTACATTGATAACAATGTTATGCATTTGAAATTAGGGGCATGATAATCCAAACTATTGCTGACATTCTATGTTGGTTTAAATTTAGGAAAATAAGTTTTTGAAGTTCCTTAGTTTCATGTGGAACCCCTTGTCATGGGTTATGGAAGCTGCAGCAGTGATGGCAATCGCACTTGCTAATGGTGGAGTGAGTTGTCTCAGATTATTTTGTTCTTTTTCTAGAACTTGGTTGTGGATAAGTTTAAATTTCTAACTGTGTTTATTCTCATGTGTATATGTGTATATCGTATTTCTCAATGCTGCTCCTTGACTCAATTTCCATGTTTTTTATCTGGTTATTAGAGCGAGGGTCCTGATTGGCAAGACTTTGTTGGAATTATCTGCCTACTGATTCTCAATTCAACAATTAGTTTTATTGAGGAAAACAATGCTGGAAATGCAGCAGCAGCACTTATGGCTCATCTTGCTCCTAAGTGCAAGGTATCTCCTGTCTGTTTTACTAAACTAGTTTTTGCACATATACTACCAGAGGCAGTCATATAAACTCATAAATGATGTCCAGTAATTGACGGAGGGTAAACAGATTCAGTAGCTTAGGAACATAAGAAAATAAGATAAAGCATATATTATGTCAATAAAATCATGGAGATAAACAAATTATGTAGGTTAGAAACATCAGAAAACAAGGTAAGCAAATTTTATGTCCATAGAATAAGGCCCACAACTATTATGGCATTGAGAACTCAATAATACAATAGTATTTATTCTGGCTGGCCTTTTAGCGAAAGTTTCTTAATTTTGCTGATTGAATGCCCTAAATTGATCTGTTTTTCTCTCATTAGTGTATTTAGTATTGCAGCTATTGGTTGCATTTTTTTTGTTGATCTTGTCATTTCATGGAGGATGAGTGTCTCTACAATTGTTTTTTCATGCTTTTAGCTCTTTTCCTTCTGTATTAGGAATAATAAATCCCTTGATCATGGTAATGTATTTGTTACTTCTGTAAGTTACATTGTTGACTGAGCATGCATGTCCCTAGGTACTCCGAGATGATCAATGGCAAGAGAAGGATGCAGCTATTCTAGTACCAGGGGATATCATCAGCATTAAGCTTGGTGACATTATCCCAGCAGATGCTCGTTTGCTTGAGGGTGACCCTCTTAAAGTTGACCAGGCAAATCGTTTATCTTTTTCCTTCCATAACAGCTTTACATTTCTGAAGAACTGATGATTATATTGATATCTGATGGAATTATTGTGTAGCAAATTGCATAGTGAGAAATATGAGAATGGTGAATAAGACACCCATTGTGTATCTTGATTTTAGTTCTTCCATGCTGCGATAGCCCATGATATCATATGCTAAACTAGTATTATATCATTCACAAACTTTACAAGTTATTTTTCTGAGACTTTATTATGATGATGCAGTCAGCTCTGACTGGTGAATCTCTACCTGTCACAAAGATGACAGGTGACGTAGTATTCTCTGGTTCAATTTGTAAACAAGGAGAGATTCAGGCTGTAGTAATTGCAACTGGAATTCACTCTTTCTTTGGGAAAGCTGCTCTTTTGGTAGACTCTACAGAAGTAGTTGGGCATTTTCAGAAGGTAAGCACCACCAAAACCATGGAAATAATTTATTGTTATTCTTCAGAATCTGTCAGTTCACTGATATGTCATACTAGATGACATTGAGGAGGATATGTGAAATGCAGTATTTGCAAATCATCATGTAGTCCAATATACCTACTTGTTAAATATGATAATTGCAACTTTCTTAATCAGACTATTAGCTTATGTTCCCTTGTGGCACAAAATAAACTGGAATGTGTAAGTTATGGAACGAAAATACCTAGAGATGACTAACCATAATTTCAAACCTTGATATTATGTAAAATTCAATACCTTAACCCTAGCAATGCATGCAATTGGCATATTCACTAGTGAACTTTTTTTTTCTTATGACTATATAGCTGACCAGTTGACTTTTTCAGGTTCTTACTTCAATTGGGAATTTCTGTATATGCTCGATAGCCGTTGGAATGATTCTTGAGATCATAGTCATGTTTCCAATCCAACATCGTTCATACAGAGATGGAATCAACAACCTTCTCGTTCTTTTAATAGGAGGCATACCCATAGCTATGCCGACAGTGTTATCTGTAACCCTTGCAATTGGTTCTCATCGCCTCTCTCAACAGGTATATCCTTGGAGTTTAACTGTAATATCCGGACGTTATCTTACATCTATGTACAGGGTGCAATTACTAAAAGGATGACAGCCATCGAAGAATTGGCTGGAATGGATGTTCTTTGCAGCGATAAAACTGGCACACTCACCTTGAATCGACTCACTGTTGACCGGAATCTTATTGAGGTATCAAAAGGCTTTTTTGTTTGCTCACAAGTTATACATGATGTTTCAAAAAAGATTTGATTATTAATGATCACACATTTCTGCCTCAACTATCAGGTATCAACTGAATATATGACATAGCATGAAGAAATGTAGGTTTATTAAGGGCTTGTTTTTTATATCTTTGCCATGTATCAGAATGCCAAAGTATCATCCTGTAGGTTTTCAGTGAGGGCATGGACAAAGACATAATTGTCTTGCTTGCAGCAAGAGCCTCAAGGCTTGAAAACCAGGATGCCATTGATACTGCTATCATTAGTATGCTTGCTGATCCTAAAGAGGTAAAACAGAAATTTTGATATGAGTTTCATAGTTCTTCATATAACATTTTGCCTTTGTTTTTTGTCTATGAAGTCAAAAGTTATAAATGATTTTTACTACAGGCACGTGCAAACATCACTGAAGTACATTTTTTCCCCTTCAACCCAGTGGATAAACGGACAGCAATTACATACATCGATTCAGAAGGAAACTGGTATCGAACTAGCAAAGGTGCTCCAGAGCAGGTGCTGGCATTACGATTATAAAGAACGAACATAATCCATTAATTCATTAAGACCAGTTTCATGTTGAAGCAAAATCTTTGGATCTGACAGGGTTGTAAATGAATATCCAATTGGCTATGAAGATACGGTTCTAGTGTCATTCAAAACATGTTTTATATCTATCTCTGCTTAAAAATCTGAGATTTTTTTGGTCATTACTTCAGATTCTAGATCTATGCTATAATAAAGACAAAATTTCTGGAAAAGTTCATGCAATCATTGACAAATTTGCTGAAAGGGGACTACGCTCTCTTGGAGTTGCTTATCAGGTAAGGCCTGGAGACTTGATAAAATAATTAAGTTATACACACTAGTCATAATGAACTTGAAATTTGCATTAAGTTGAATATATTTCAATTTTTTACAAATTAGATTATACAAGGTGGCTGTCAATTACAGATTCAATATTTCTGTCTGTTTCAAGCTGCTCTATGTGGCAGTTGCAGTTTGCAAATTAAGCCTGCTTGTAGTCAACTTGATGCGTGTTAAAAACATTTTCAGGCCATTCCTGAGAAAACAAAAGAGAGTTCAGGTGGTCCATGGGTTTTTTGTGGCTTATTGCCATTGTTTGATCCACCTAGACATGACAGTGCTGAGACCATTCGGAGGGCACTGAACCTGGGTGTCTGCGTGAAGATGATTACTGGTACGTGTAGGACTTCAAGAAATTGTTATGGTTGCCTCATTTAAATTGTTCTTTTTTATTAAATAATTATCTTTCTCAATCTTATAATTCAAGTCAAACATAGATTGTCCCATGTTTTATTGCTGATACAATGCAGTCCTGGCATGTTAAATAGGCATGCTGTTTAACATGCCAATCTGCCAATTAAGGAAACTGGACATGCAGATAGATCTAAGTAGTTCAAAGCAAGTGCAGGTTCAAGGAGTTGTCAAAGTTTTAAAAAGATGATAGTAGGAACCAGAAAGTAGACATATGTATAACTGTCACCATTGAAATATAAACTAAAAGCTCATATTACTGTAACCATTACTCATATGACAACACGGAACAGTTGCCTTTAGTAATAACAATTAAAGGAGGATAAATACCTTTTTATTTGAACTAAATTTTATGAATTTAGTTCTCCTCACTTTGTTGTTTCTTTCATTTGCTAGCAGAAACAATCCCTCTATGATCCAAAGGCTTCCTCTGGATTAGAGCTTCAGTCATGTAATTAAGTAGATGTTCACGTTTTACAGAACATCAACAACTTTGAGTATCAATCTGAAATGAAAAATAACAATTTTCTATTAAAAGGATGGAGATCAATTTATTTCCCAAGACCTTATAACTCTTATCTATCTGATCATGGGAGATATGACTTAAGATATTGATGTGTTCTTTTTCCTCAGAACTATGCATCCTTGTACATAAAGGTAGAGAATTGGTGTCAGGGACCATGGTAGGGTCATATATGAGTCTTAGAAATATCTGGTAAAAAAGAAAACACCAGAATCCTTGTCCACATAAGGTGGAATTATGTGAAAGGATCTTCAGCAGCCGGCAAGGTGACCACCCAACAAAGGCTGCCCTTAATTTTAATTATCAGCAAATTAAGAATCATAAATATGGCTGATAGCAGTTGAAGAAAACTTACTCTTATTTATATGGTGATTGATCTGATGATTATCAAGCCTACTGAATCTTGACATTGGGATTCCTGAAACCTTCAATTTCTTTTACTTATTGCTTAACAACAATTTTTACTCCTGTAGGTGACCAGCTATCCATTGCTAAAGAAACTGGAAGACGCCTTGGAATGGGAACGAACATGTACCCTTCCTCATCATTGTTCAGTCATGATAAAGATGAAAATGAAGCTCTTCCAGTTGATGAACTTATTGAAAAAGCGGACGGATTTGCTGGTGTCTTTCCTGGTAGTTTGAATTGCTTAATGCATCTTCTGAACATTCTGTCATAGCTGCAAGTTTTGGCATAAATGTTTCCTGGCATTAACCATGCGTTACGGGAGTATGTTTGGCACTTCTAATATGAACTTTCAGAATGGAGTGAACATGTTCCTTTTTGTCAACTTTCAGAGCATAAGTATGAGATTGTGAAAATTCTCCAAGAAAAGAAGCACGTGTGTGGGATGACAGGAGATGGTGTCAATGATGCTCCTGCACTCAAGAAAGCAGACATTGGAATAGCAGTATCAGATGCCACTGATGCTGCTAGGAGTGCTGCTGATATTGTTCTTACGGAACCCGGCTTGAGTGTCATTGTCAGTGCAGTCTTGACCAGCCGGGCCATATTTCAGAGAATGAAGAACTACACAGTTGAGTATTAAAAGGAAAATATTATTTTTTTTTCCTTCTTTTTCTTATAGGTTAATTTATTGGTAATCATTATCTAAAATTGATGCAGATTTATGCTGTGTCCATTACTATACGAATAGTGGTAAGTCAACCTGAATAATCTAGGTTTTTCTCTCACATCAATATTGATGTACAGATCATCCTAATCCTCTATGTTTGGTTCTTCTGCAGCTTGGGTTCATGCTTCTCGCTTTGATTTGGGAATATGATTTCCCTCCTTTTATGGTTTTGATAATAGCCATTCTGAATGATGGTAAGAGTTATTTGCAGGATTTGGAGCGCACTAATTCATGAAACTCTTCTCTACTAGGAAACCATCTTAAATGGAAGTGTTCATTTTGTGGAAGCTTCATAACCCGTCATGTGAATCAGTATTTTTCTTCAAATTCAAATGATAGATTGCAATGTTAACCATGCCAACCTGTCCATATGATACACATACTCCCAACACAATCTATGTTCTGCATGAATATAGCAGTGCCAAGTTTGTGCTCATGGGCACAACCTCTGGGCTATGGTACTTTCTAGTTCTGGAATGGCATCTCACTTTGAAGAAACCTTATCCGAAATATTTTTTATGGTAGTCTCTTGCTAAGGATATTTTTCTATTTTTATTTAGTGCAAAACCTATTTCCTGATCATTGAAACCATACCAATACAGACAGACAATATTCAGGAAGCACATACAAACAGTTTCAATATCCAAAATATATATATCATGCTGAAAGCAACAACAATATCCGAGATACAATCAGTGATTATAAAAAATTGTAGACATATAGTACGATCGCTGCTTATGTTGTTTTATTTCTACATAATATTTTATGAAAATATTTGAGTGATTAGCATCATGATACGTTTTTCTTTCAAGGGACCATCATGACAATATCCAAGGATCGTGTGAAGCCATCACCACACCCTGATAGTTGGAAACTCAATGAGATTTTCGCTACAGGTGTTGTCATAGGGGCTTACCTTGCATTAGTTACAGTTCTCTTTTACTGGGCTATCATCAAGACTAACTTCTTTGAGGTACTGCAGTTTATGTTGTTGTTATTTATTTACCTTTTATTCATGTTCTGATGGTTCATTTTAACATGAACTCTTTGTCTTTGTTTTGTTTAATTGCAGACTCATTTCAAAGTTAGAACTCTCAGCAGCAGCATTGAAGAGGTCTCGTCTGCTGTATATCTGCAAGTTAGCATCATCAGCCAAGCTCTTATATTCGTCACACGTAGTCAGAGTTGGTCATTTTTAGAGAGACCGGGTACTCTCCTAATGTGTGCATTTGTTATAGCTCAGCTGGTAAGTGCTCTAAAAATTTGTTATTAAGTTGTCCATGTTCATTGCCAAAAGAAGACCGTAAACTTGGTTCTCACATCTAGAATACATAAAGCAGCTTAGGGTCAGATGAAATGCATGCAAACTTTGATTTGTTCAATGATATCTATGAATGTGTGCATTTGTTATAGCTCCGCTGGTAAGTACTTTTGAAAAATTGTTATTAAGTTGTCCATGTTCTTTGCCAAAAGAAGACCATAAACTTGGTTCTCACATCAAGCATACATAAAGCAGCTTAGGGTCAGCTGAAATGCACGCAAACTTTAATTTTTTTATGAATTGTTCTGTTGTTCTTTGGTGTCTAAATTTTCCAAGCCCTTCCTTCTCAAGCTATCATGTGTTAAAATGCACCTCTAGGATACTTTCACTGCTCAACTTGATGAACCGAATGATATGGCTGGCTCTTATGGTTAAGTCATGCATCGAACAATAAGCTTTCCAAATTGGTGCAGGTTGCCACCCTGATTGCAGTTTACGCACATATCAACTTTGCATCGATTCGTGGTATAGGCTGGGGCTGGGCTGGTGTGATTTGGATTTACAGTTTAATTTTCTACATTCCTCTTGACATAATCAAGTTCACCGTTAGATATGCTCTCAGTGGAGAGGCATGGAATCTGCTGTTTGACAGAAAGGTCAGTACACGGCAACTTCGTTACTCTTCTCTCCCTGCTTTCGAAATTCTTATTCCTTGTGTTAGCTAGAGAAGCTCAGATGTCAGAGTTTCATCATTAATTACTCCAGTTAAAAATGTAGCTAGACACTCTTATGCTGCTTCTTTATTTTCTTGAATTTTCTTTACGTTGCTCAGAGCAATCAAGTTAGAAATTGCCATCACGAGCTAATCAGTGTTCTCACTCTATCGCAGACTGCTTTTACTTCCAAAAAAGACTACGGAAAGGAAGATAGAAAAGCTCAATGGGTAATCTCCCAGCAGTCCTTGCAGGGGCTTATACCTTCTGATATCATTGCCAATGGAAGACGGTCTTCTTTGATTGCTGAACAGGCAAAGAGACGTGCTGAGATAGCCAGGTAATTGAATTAACAACAAAATACTTATGAATAGGCAAAATCATATTATTAAACATGATATGATTCAGATAATCGATCGATCAATAAACTAACAGTTTCTGTCTTAATAAATGGTGGCCATTTGGAAGTTTAAGTAATTCTTGAGATCTTTATGCGGATTGTGATTAGTCTCTTTCTCTTCCTTTACGATCGTCTTCATTTGAAATAAATTAAATATTCACTCAGTTCCAAGTCATCGTAAAATTCTAGGTCTTTACCATTCCTAAAATTCACTCCTATCGGACACGATCCTTCACTCGGAATCTACTTGAAGAAAGTTCTCTAACTTGAGAACATAGTTTATGTCAGTAGTTATTATTTATTTCTCCTCATTCAATATGCAAGAGACCCTGGCCATCGATCAAAGCTGACCTGAATGGCTATAGGCAAAATTGAGACTCCTTTCCGTATTGTACTAATTATCAGATCGACTTTTGTGATACTTTGCATTGGCAACAAAAAGTTTGGCAGCATGTGAAGGGTTCGTTCTTTACTCGATGATCCTTGCCTCAACAGTTTTGTTTCTTGAACATCTTGTTTCCAGTTCTATTCTTTTCATGGTTTCATTCTAACAAAGAGATGTTCTGTTTTGCAGATTGGGAGAAATACACACGCTAAGAGGACACGTAGAATCTGTAGTGAGACTGAAGAAGTTAGACATCAATGTTATTCAAACTGCTCACACAGTATGATACCTACCAGCGATAACCTTTTCACTACAACTGCGGAATAGATTCATGAGACTCCGGTTAAAGAACTTTTGCTCTTTTACTTTTCACCACATTCTGATAAGCCCATAATATGAACAAGATAGGTGATTTAAGTTTATGATAGTCATTAAAATGATGGATTCGGACAATGTTCCTTCATGCAATGGAAGTGCCAGTTTTTTTCTCGTCAGACCAAGTCATGATCAGATGTAATTGAGTTGTCAGCCAAATAATGCACACTCTGATTCAAACTTCAATAACATTGAGAAGAGTAAACAAAAGTCTCTTATTCTGTTTACTATATATATATATATATATATATATATATAGACTGGCTGATGAAATTGTCCTTTCTGTTCTATAAAATTAGCTGCTGACTAGTTTGTTTAAGTAGATATTGCAGTCTCTATTTTCATGTGAGCATTTGCTGATAAAAATCACGTTGAAAGAGAACATAATTCTGAATGTTCCTCTGTCAAGCAAGATTGGATCAATCCTTGTTCAGAAATTAAATTTTACTCCTCTTTTATATGATTTGTTTGTAACTTTTAGCCAATAATGAAACTAATCATACTGATCCAGAGTAATCAAATAAATGACAGAGAAAAAGGTGGATGAGCTTCAAGTTCCACTAATATGTGGAAGAAGCAATCTCCTTTTTGTTTCTCATTGAACTAAAAGCTGACAAAAGAAATCACTGAGGATTTGCTCATATTAATAAAAACCCAATCAAGATTTTAATAACTTGTTTCTCATTGTTTTCTTTATTAATTACACAATCATCTTAATGGTCAATTAATATGATTTATTTATTTATTTTTTTTGTTGCGTAGAAGAAGAAGCTCACAACCTCGCATAATTCAAAGTATTCTTACTAGGGTTCTTGAAATATCTTTATATCCTAAAAATAGCTAAAACTCTGACCCTTTATTTCCCTCAGCCCGAGCCCAAGCAACAATTTGTTGTTAGTTTCTATAATGAACCAGCTCAAAAAATAACCTGATTAATTTAAATTTGACTGGATAAGATATCAGTTCGATGGACAACATTTAACGATGACAACGACGACGACTACGACAACAACAACAACAACAACAGTGACTTGCTAACGAAGAATAACAATAATAGTAGTAGTAGTAGTAATAATTATGATCATAACAATAATAATAATAATAATATGTATTATGTATAGTTTTAATCACCCGAACTGTTTGAGATCAAGCAAACTCAAGCCGATCAACAACCCTCTGTTTATAAGGATTAGCGCCAATTCGAGCTCAAATATTATGGGCCGACTCGGGCCTATTAATTTACGAGGAATCCCCTATTAGTTTAGGGGTTGACATTGGAGCCCCTTCCTATAAAATCCTAATTAAAGCTCTTCGCTTCTTTCAAAACCCTAGTGATCCTACCCCGGAGCGCAGAAGAAACCTTGGTCGTTCGCCCATGGCGGAAGCCACCGATGGCCGAAGCGACACGAAGAAGAAGAAGAAGAAGCGGAACAAGCGAGTGAGCGTGGAGATGGAGGCTCTGTCTGAGGCCGCCGATCGCGTCGCCCCGGTCGTCGGCTACTTTCCCTCGGGATACGATCCCCGGGGGGAGGGCGCCGATCCCAGCATCAAGGTCTTCAGGAACAAGAAGAGGCCCAACCGCCTCGAGCTCGTCGTGAGTCCCAGTGGCACCGGCGTCGACTTCGTTGGCAAGAGCTACGCCGGCGAGGCCGCGGGAGCACAGATCTGTAGCTACGCGCTCGGGGTCCTCGACAAGGAGTCGCAGACCCTCAGGATTGTGCCCATCGCCTCCAACAAGGTTTCTTATCTGAATAAGATCATTCTTTTTGTTGCAATTCATCTTAGCCACTAGATTAATGGTAGACGTTCGAACTACGGGTTTGGCTTCGAAAAGCAATCTTTTCCCAGAATTTGTTCGTGATGTGGTTTTAGCTACTTTTTGCATTAGTGGGTCTTTAAAATTGGAGATTTTTGTAGATTACTGACATCGTTTAACTTTTTGTATTAGATTTCTTGATTACTAGAGTTTAAGAAGACCAATGACTTGTTTTTCTTCAAACATATTCAGAAATCAGATTTTCTGTTCATGTTTTAGTTGAATAGCTTAAAAGAATTTTTTGTGCAACAAGTAATCTGCGTTGTTTAAGACCCTTAAATTAATTAGTGGTAATGATCATTATATTTTATTAGAATCTTTATATGTTGTTGAAACATACATTTGCTGATTCTGGCTTGTTGTACATCTGATTTCTATTTTGTGCTTGTAATCTTGAAGGATCCTATGGCACACTGATTGGATCTTTCATTGCTATGTTTCTCAGTGATGCACCTAATATCTTTTTTTATCGGGGTCTGTATACTATGATGTGGGTATTTTGTTCAACGTATTTAAAGATGCATCTCGTTGGTACTTTTTTCCCCACCACACTTTATGTAAATTTAACATCTTGATGTCTCATTACTTAAAAATATCAGAGGATCCATAGTTGCTGTCTGTATATTTGAGTATGTCTAACATGGAACTCCACAATAAAGGGCAGGTTCACGAATTACACAAAATCATCATCTTATTGTTCATGCATCTGTGTCATGACTGCCGAAATTATTCGGGTTATGAGTTTAAACCTCAACTTTTGGTTCCTCCAATTTATGAAGTTATTGCACCTATATAGTACCATATCTTGATTAAAGTGATTAATGCAGATCTTAAGATTGGAGCCACGGTTGAAGATGAATCCTTTTGCTGATACAGAAGTTTCAGATGGTTTAGCTGAAGAGAGTATTGCTACAAGCAAAACAGAACGAAAAATGGTGGATCTTACTAGTCTTTATGGAACAAAGAAGGATAGGGACAAGGTAATGGCTTTTACCTTAGTACTTATTACCTAATATGCCATTTCATGTTTTGTGGATTCTTTAATATTTCAATTTCAGCGATTTGAAACCTCAATGTACTTATTTATGTACATTCTTTCTTGATCTTCTTGGGTTATCTTGGTATAACTGTATGTGCAGCTGCTTACCTCTATTGCTGTATATGCCTCAATAACCTGCATGCTGCAATAACTGACAACATTCTTAATTCTTTTTATGTCATTGGTTGATTTCAAAATGATAGTGCAATCTTCATTGAAGCAATAGGAGGTTCTTGTAAGATGATAAAGGTACAAGAATCTTTGTCTTACAAGGGTCAATAATCAAGAAAGTACCTAACCAAAACTTAGATAAGAAGGATAAATACAACTTTTTTGTTTGTGTGGATCTATAATACACTTCACTTTTGAACATTAATTAGGGGTCTTCTGTTATTAATATTGTTTGTCTTATTTTACATCATTAATTAGGTCTGTGTTGTTGGTAGCAAGGAATAGCATGCTCCATGCTAGTTAATGATCTAAATGAAATAAAATAGCATTGATAACATGGATCCCTGATTACGGTTTGAATGTCAAGGAAGGCAAATAAAATATTATTATGGTTGCAACAGGAGCTTTGACATTTTATGTTCGTCTTTGTTCTTGAGTTCTCTTGGCTGGAATCTTGTTGATTCATGAGCCTTTGAAGTGCTAATAATTCTTTCTTTCAGGCAAAATTTTAGACTGTTGATATGTATTTTAGTTGTATTGGCTATAAAATAGAAGGATGGTCAGTACACGAGTTTCTTGCCAATGGAGGGTCTCAAGAAAGTCAGATTATGCAGCCTTATTCTCATAAGAAGACAATCTATTTCTGTGACTCAAATTAGGGTCACCCATGACATAGAGGAGTAACCATACTGTTGTCAAACATTGCCTTCTATATTAGCTTAGAGAAGACAGACCTAAAAATTGCTTCAGATCTGAGTCTATAGATAGCACTTGTCTCCAAGCCTAGAACCCCAGTGATTTCAAAGCCCGGAGAAAAGGCTGGAATTAAACTGATAGTCAGCTGGAATTATGTCTTCCAGTGAATTCTGGCCTGCTGAAATTAGCTGTTCCCATGAATATGGGCTGTGCAAGGCTGATTTAGGCTGTTCCAGCTTGTCATTGACCTGATCTGATTCTTTTTCTTCCTTATTCTGACCTGTTGAGCTTTATCTTTAACTGCATGGAGAAGTTAAAAAAGTAGATATCTATCTCTTTGTCCAGAGGAGTATGTAAGTTTGGTCCCTAGAGTCTTGAGTTTAATTATATTTCAAAGATTCCTAAGTCTGTACAAAGCAAGGTATACATTTTCATTCGGACCAGTATGTATCAGCCAGTATTTACTGGTGCAAATGTGAACTACTTGCAAACTGCCCAATTTTGAGTGGTCCATATGGGATAGGGCTTACCATTGTTCATAGTGTGGTAAGCTCTTTTTTTAACCCTAAAATACCTCATGCTGTTTGTCACCCATCAGTGGTACTCCTATCATACTCTAATACATTTTGCTCCTCCTTTTGCCCCCATTCTCCTCCTTTTTCTTGCTTTGTCACGCACTCCTCTTGTTCTTCAGCTTCTCCTCCTCTTTTTTTCCTTCTCTTTTTCTCTTCCTCCCCCTTCTAGTAATGTGGTACTTATTGACATGTGTCAATTCGTCGGTTTCCTGTCAGGTCCATATCAGTCTAGCTGATGACGCATATAAATCACAATCGTTGGTGTAGAGTATTTGATGTGAGACAAATATGTCTTTGTGCTGGTCTTTTGCACAATCATGGCACTTTCTGATCAACAAATAGCTAACAATGTCAGAAGGAAAAGAATCAGGCTGTATTAGTGGAAGTTAGCTGTTGCAGGTCTAGCATCTTTCAAGTGATGGGAGGCACGTCATCTTGACTATGTTAGCTATCTTGTCATTTTTTTTTCAATGAGAAAGGAGTCTCAATTGAAATCTACTTTGCTTTTCTAATATAATTTGTTATAGAAAACTCCATGGCATCTGTTCAACGTTTAATTGATTTGAGTTTTGGAACTCCCTGACATAATTAGTTGTTGATCTCTTCATTTTTTATTGTGGTCCATTTCTAAAGTTTTAGAATTCCATTTTTAGCTTTCTTCCAGGCTTAATGATTCACTTATATACTACATTTGATCTACATGGTGCTGAAGAAGCACCTTATCTTGCCCTCGTTTGTTTTGGTGCTCTATCTATGATCTACCTCCTTTGAGAAAAGCTGTGTAGTTCTCTCATTTTAGCAGAATGTAATATAAACTTTCTAAAAAATCTGAGGTGCAGGTATGATAAAGCTATTTCTTTACTAGTTGATCATGGAATGAATTCACTAG